CACACACACACACACACACACACACACACACACACACACACACACACACACACACACACACACTTAATTCTCCCTGGTTTGCACTGTGAAGTCTGGTGACAAAGATAGAGGGGCTGAGACATAGTGGGCTGCCAATGCTAATTTTTCCAGCATTTTCCAACCAATCACATGGCTGCCTCAGGATTTCCAAAGTCCTGGAGAGATTCCTTCGTCCCTGAGAGAGTTTACTGAGGCTGCAGATTAGCTTTGTTGAAATGATTAAGGTCACCTAAAAAACAAACCAAAAAAAAAGTCTCTCTGGGAACTCGACAGGATCTGTTGTTTTGCTCTGGGACACTTTGGGCAACTTTGGGGAGTTAGACAAGTTGTAGCAGGGCCTTCTATAAATCCTACAAGTGCAACATAATTATACTTAAAATTAAACATGAACTGTTCATTTGATATCTTTCTGTCCCATCCCCCCCGGTCGCTTGTCCCTGGGATACATGCAGCTGGCGAGAAGCAGCAGCTCTGTGCAGTGCATCATGGGCACTGGCACGCAGGTCTGTCTGCCTCTGATCCCCTCAGTCTCATCACAGTGAACACAGCATACAGAGAGCCCAGAAGAGCTCCATGATCAGCGGCGTGACCTATATAACGGTGCTGCTGCCTACCGCTGCCACCAGAGGGCCCCCACTCGCTGTGGAGCGTTACATAGCGTAGAGGCAGCTTTGCTTGCTCAAGCAATAGCATCTCACTGCACAGCAATATCATCCTAGCCTCATCAAAGGGGGCGTTATATTTGTGCCTGAAACTACAACACCACATGCACTACTTTCTAAGCTCGATCATTCAGAAAGTAACCTGTTACCTTTTATGCACACTAGAAGAAAAAAAAGTAGAGTCAACAGCTGGTGACTTGATGAACAGATACTGACAGAGCGACTAAGTCTTCAAATCAGCACTCGATGTGTGGGCCAACGCAGAGCCTCAGAGCAAATATGATGGCTAATGTAATCGTCCCAGAGGCTGATTTAAGGTCACATTTGTTTGTCTGTTCTCTAATGGCTAATGGTTGCATTTGGATTAGAACCCTGATCTCAGCCTCGGGGCGAGTGCACAATGATGACAGAGCATTTCTACAGTGTGTGCATGCTTGTGTGTGTGTGTGTTATTTCAGTCTTAAATGTCATATTCATCTCCTCTCCAACCAGAGCAACTTGCTCAATCAACACAAAGCTCTGCGTGGGAGAGAGCAGGAATATGCACCTTAACTCCACTGAATACAATGAGGGTCTCAATACTGTGTGTGTGTGTGTATGTCTGTGTATGTTTGTGTGTGTGTGTGTGTGTGTGTGTGTGTGTGTGCTCAAGTGAATGCATGCTTGTATGCTTCAGCTCATGAGCTTGTGAATTGTGCCCATGACAGAGGGAAGCTGATTGAAAGAATGAAGGTTGTAGTTGTGTGTGTGTGTGTGTGTGTGTGTGTGTGTGTGTGTGTGTGTGTGTGTCTGTGCCTCCTCTCTCGACCCAGGTCGCGCTGATTAAATATATTCTTGCACCACAATGGACTGGCGCTGCTTTTGTGTA